ACATTCCCAGTGCTTGTGTTTTCACTGATGAGTCGTGACTGCCGCTCGTAGCAGCAAACGCGATTTCATCTCGATTTTGTGCCATCGTTAAAAGTTCCCGTTTGGCCGAAGATGAAGATGTCGGTTGCAGCTGCCCGCCGCATTGGTACACTTCACTAATGTTGGTTAACGCATCCGCCGTCCAAACACCAGCAGCGGGTGTCCCGGACTTAATCGTCGCGGTAAAGTGGCCATCCTCAAATTGGCCAATCATGGTCAATCACGCTCAGTGTCGTCGCGTTTCCCACACGGAGAGATTTAATTGCGGGCAGCCCGCCCGCCGCCTTTTGCCGACAGGGGAATAGCAGAACTCTTCTTGACATCTCGGCGGGACGAAGAACTCGCGGATTTTCTCCAGCTCCCAAATCATTTCCACCGCCTCTTTTCTTACGTTGCGAATGCAATGTGGGGGGGGTGGAGCGTGGTAGGTTGAAATATTGCAATGTGAAACAGGAAGGAAGCAGCAAGGTACATTGTGGGTAAGTGAACGGATAACTAGCATAAATTTAACTAATAAACTATTTTTTTTTATTTTACCAGGGTAAAGTCCGCTGAACTATACAGCTCTTTTTCATAAGCGAACTAGCCGCAAATGATAGCTCAGCGAAGTGCGTTATTATGTGGAAATGCATTGCAGCCAAACACTCTAAACGCTGTGACGTTGATTCTAAATGTGGAGGGAAAAACCGTAGGACCCGGAAAAAAAACCACGCGACCACGGAGAGAACACGCAAACTCCAAATGCACAGGCGTTAGGATCTGAATCGAGCCCATGACCTCCTGTGTACCAGGCGAGGGAGTTAACATCTTGCCACCGTGGCGCCCTGTGTTGGTTTACATTGCCAAATTGGTATTAAAACGGTTGGGAGAGGAAAAAAACAAACTCGCTTTCACGCTGCTTGAGGCTCGACAACGTGTGACAGTGAGCAGGGCTGGCGTTTTGCAGTGCCTGAGACAAAAACTCGTCTGATGTTTTTGCATGGGGCCTCTCAAGCTGTTACGTTAACGTGAATTGGGGGGGGGGGGGGTATTAGCCGGAGTGATAAAACAAAAGGGAGTCCTCCGTGTTTCCTTGCAGTGCGTGAAGCACTTTGTACCCTTCATGTCCATGCTTTATGCGCCACCAGTAGCAGTGGTGGTGTTACAGATTGGATAATGATTTTCTCTCATGTGGGCAATTATGTGACGATGACAAAAAATATATATTATTTTGCCTATAGTCTGCAGGAATTTATTATGAATGTAATAATAAAGAACTATTACTTACACTATTTTTCCAGTTTTTTTACGCATTTGTGCTTTCTAGTTTGTGACTAAATTTGCTGCTAAAACAGACGTTCTTAATCCCGAGTCAAGTTTATTATGGGCGATGCATAAATAACGCATTCGCCATATATTTGATGACCACGTGTCACTTTGCAGAGATGTCTCATTGCATGGCACAGGAAAATAATAATAATTTACTCCTGGATACTCATGGAGCTTGTGCCTGAAACGGAACTTTGAATGGGCAGTTTCATCACGGTCCGTTTTTCTATTACAGTTAGAATAAATTTTTTTGTCTGAACACAAGGTACCCTGTTCGGTGGCACAGTGTGGTTGTCATAGGCGGTGGCACTTGGAGTGAAATGGGGGCCCTTCTCTACAATTTCCCCCACCTGGACCCTGGCCCCCTGGTGCAGTTGCACCGCCTGCACACCGCGTCACGCCCTTTCAGGTGCACTTCTGCGGCCGTCTGGAACGCTCTTGCTTCCGATATTAGGAAGCCATTGGCGCTATACACTTTTAAAACGTCTAGATTGACAAACTAATTTCTTTAGTACTGCTTTTTGTGTTTAGTTTGTTGTCCTTCTCCGGCACCGCAAATTTGCATGGTTGGCTACGTACGGTGCGAAAGAAGTTCAACGTACATACCTGCATACACTGACCCTGGTGCATAGCGAAAGTTCTAAGTTTGGGGAAATCAATGAAGAGGTCAGGAACCAGAGTGAGGCGAATCTGGGGGAGTGGCAGCGAATGCACGACTCACGAGGGCTTCTCTCCACAGGCACGTGGAACCTTCCCCGCTCAGTATAATTTGCCACAGGGATGTAACAGTGCATACATTCATCGATTAAAATCGATTCTTACGCTCACACACAATACGTGCATAAAATCATGACGGTAAGAATGTATTTATCTTTCCGGTGTGTTTCCGAGTTGCGCTGCATGTTGTTGTTTGGCGTGATGCGCGACGTCTTACTCCACGTGCCGGCAGCTTCGGCGGGAACTGGATGAATGGTTCTCGATGAAGCTCCCAGCACGTGGAGCGAAACGTCGGACATCGTGCCGAACACCGCGCGGTGCGACCCCCAAAATACACCGGAGAGTTGTATAAAAGCAGTTGCAGTTGTAAGAATTGATTATTTTATTTTCATTCATGGTCCTTGCACTTAAGGTTTATCATAAAATAATTCAAATTTACAGCTCTTTTGTCAGCCGACTGCATGGATGTCGGCCTCCCTTTCCAGTCAGTCATGGAGGTTGCTTGACCATACTGCACCGTGCTGGCCGCCGTGGGTTCACGAAGGGACAAGAGAGAGGGCCCAGGACCAGACCAACGTTGCTCGCAACTAATATACGTTGTAGCAGGGAATCATCATCGATCTCAGGTCTCCGGGTTCACAGCGCAGCATGCTAACCACTGCGCCACCACTCGGGCAGAACGTGTTTTTGTCCGTTATCCCTCCGATAGATTTTACGTGCACTACAAGGGCATGAAATAATCAACTTGAATTGTCCGTCATAGATTGGGCCAATCGTAACGAGGTTAATAGGTCGGCGGACGACGATATGTTTTTTTGAAGATCAACGTTATCAAAAGACTCGCACGTGTTGTTGGCGAATTGGCCGCCACTCTTGCAGTGGCTTCAGATAATCGGATCTTTGTGATGGCGTTAAACTCGCCAATACTTCACCAGCACCCTTTCATTCATTCGACTTGCACGAACACATCCCTCTGTACAATTGAAATGCTGCTATGGCTTGTAACCCGAACGTAACATTCGTAGTACAAACATACCTTGCATACCATACTGGGAGAAAAACATATCCTTATAATCGTCTATGCATTATGGGTATCGCTTATTTCAAGTAAAATATAGCTTTGTGAAGTGGCAGATTCCATTTCAACTAAAAAGGGATTAATTTTTATAGTTATTATTTTTACATGCCAGTGGTGTTTTAATAAACATTCTGAGTATCGGTTTTAAAGACCTGAGTTTTCTGGGCTGGGAATTATCAGTGTAAATTTTAAATGGTATCCTCATTACCATGTTTATAAAGCAAAATGAATGCATGCTATTTGAAGTCTTTTCGTAAAAAAAAAACATAATTCAGCAAATATATTTATTATTAACAATTGGCACCATTGTATCAACACTTCTTAATAATTATGTGCAGCATATCAAAATAGAAAAAAACAGTTTGTATTTTGTAAGCTATATCATTATTTAGCAGAACTGTCCTTGCTGGTATATTGATTTATTTTTATGGTGCAACAGTTAATTCATAGAATTGAAGAATTGACATACCACATTTTTTTTAAAGAATACTGTATCATAGTGTTTTTGACTGTTTTTTTCATACTAAAAAAAAATTCCAGACGTCATTGTTGAGGGATGGGATCTTCGCATCATCAGACTAAGCAATATCTAAAAGTCTGCGTATAATCATACCAATTCTACCAAACACTCCAATAATGATTTAAAGCTGCCCAAAATAACTGGAAAAAATATTCATGGCTATCTTTGGGAAGGAGGGGGAGGGAAGGGGAGGTGGGGGGGGTGTGCAGGAGGTGGGGTTGAGAATAGCAAATAGCATGCAAGTTGCCACTTAATATTGTGCAGATTGTGAAAAAAAAATTGCATCCTTTTGTATTTTCTAAAAAAACCCCCATCATCTTTATGGCCTCGTTTCCGTCTCTGCTAGAAAATAAATTGCACGCTTCGTAAAGTGTTAGCCAAAATGATTTTTTTGTGTGCTGCCCATGGCTTCAATCCCCTCGTGTTTGTCATGATCAGCGGGAGCTGACGTACAAATCCAGCGGCAATGCGTCGTTCTGTGGACACGTCGAGTCTGCCAACTGCCACGGTTCTAAATCGTCGGGCGTGCACAAAACAAAAGAAACATCCGAAGTAAAAGCGTTCACGCAAGTGATTACAGATTAACATTAAGCGCCAATTGCGGGCGAATGGGTGAAAAAGAACGTGAGACAACATTCCGCTTTTTGCAATAACAGTCGAGTTGTATTGCCCGCTGCTCGTAAAAAAAAAAGCAAGCGGACATGCTGGTGTCGCGATTGTACCGTGTACAACATGTGCCTACATATTTCCCCCCGCTTCCTGCGGTCACGATGTACCGCATCCACGTTCGTGACCACATTTCTGATAACATGACAAATTCCGTCCCCCTCCCCTCTCCACTGTGCGTGTGCAGTTCGTCTCTTCGTGCGTTACATCCAAGAAATAAATGTTGTTTGAAACCAATGGCGGAGCCAGGATTTTCAGGTGGGGGGGGGGGAACCCCTCCAGCAATGACAAATTATAGAGGAGTTGTTATTAAAGACTTGTCCCTTGGTTTTTATTCGACGCGTGTGCGGCGATGGCGCAGCTATCGTTCGAGGGTCGAATTCGAACCGCGTTGTTAGTGATCGGCATCGCGCTCGCTGAAGGTGTTGATGCCTTCAGGGAAGTCGTGGACTCTGTAGACGCAACTGCGCACAATTCTGTGAGTCGCTTATAACTGCTTTGCCGTCACTTATTGCCAATTATGGACTCAGACTATTGTCCTATCATCTCATAGAGTCCCTGGCACGTAATAAAATGCTACACAGTGGCAGCGGGGGTCGCATAATGCCGATTTATTACTAATAAACCCCAATGATCCGATCGAAATTAGGGATTTCGATCGGATCATTGGAGGGGGCACGTGCCCCCCCCCCCACCACTGGCTCCGCCAGTGTTTGAAACGAACGTATCTCGCTGTGTCTAACCAACGCTTAGGTTACACTTTCGTAATGTTCATCTTTCTTTGTCGCACACAACCTTACAGACCACACACACGCCGTAAGCTACCCACGAAAGAATGACAGGAGAGTATTGACGGTACGAGAACGTTCGCATCAGACGCTGGCTGATTCATCCGGTAAAGAGAAAAAAAATCTGGGTTTTTTTGTTTTTTCAAAAGCAAGCCACGGTGATGTTGCCACATGTAGATTGGTTCTTAAAATAGCCTTGGCATACATTAATCTCGCTCGCTCTGAGTCATATGGCAAACGCAATGATAATTGTTTTTTTGCATTAACAATATAGGCTTAAGTGCAGTTTTGCTGTGGTTATTTCGACAATATAAACCTATTTTGTACGCCAGTATTGACACCAGTGTATTGCAGACAAGACTATGCTTCTCCATTTCTTAGTTTTTCCCCAACCTTTGATAACTATTTACTTATTCAATGTTGATGTAGAGCGCCTTTTGAGTACCCTTTTAGAAAGGCGCTTCATCAATTAAATGTAAGATTAAGCAAAATGCAACTCCCTGAATCACATCCCGATCTATGTCTGATTCCGAGCACTAATAAATAAAGACCACACTTTTAGCTTCCACCTATCCATAGAGAACGGCAGCCGGGCTGTCAAAACACAAATAACCCGAGCTCAAAGAAGATTCTCCATGAGGCAAGCGTTACTGCAAGCTTGTTTGTTTTTGTGATATACGATTCTTGTGGAAATTAAATTAAATAAAACAACGGTGGTGGCGGCAATGGGGGGGTGGGGAGATGGTCGGTAACATTCACAGCCAATGGCACTTTGTTTCCCCGAATTGCCTCGGCGATGAGGTCCATCTCGGGGCTTTCTGATGTCGGCTGACAGCACGTCCCAGGGAGGAGGGGGAGACATTGACGAGTGGCGACGTGAATGCAACGTGCGGGTGAATAACGCGACCGGTGCTGGACACCCACCAGGACGGCTCTCCTGGGGAGGCGCTTCCGATCGTGAAGCCACAACGGATCCCAGCTGCACGAGTGGTGAGATGTTGACTACCTCGCCTGGTGTGCGGGAGGAGGGTGGCGGGTTCGATTCCGACCCTGGCGCCTGTAATATTTGGAGTTCGCGTCTTCTCCCCGTTGTTGGTCGCGGTGGATTTTTATCTGGGTTTTCAACTCGGTATTTATGATGAAGATGCGTTTAAGAGTCATTTGGCTTGCTGTGAATTTCCACTCGATAAGCCACTTCGTTGAGTTATCATTTGTGGCGAAGTCGCTTCTGAAGAAAGAAAAAAAAGCGCCATATCGCCCATTGGGCCTCACCTGGCAAAATGAAATAAAATAAAAAATCGATTTATAGTTTATCAGCAACAGTCCGGAAACAACTCGAGCCCCGGGGGGGGTGGGGGGGGGGTGCGGGGCAATTGCCTCTGCAAATCTCCCCACCACCACCCTGGGCACACAAAGCCGTCGCTCGCACGCAAAACCAATGGCCAATCGAGAGGCCACCACCACCACCCCAGTCCTCCACTTGCCTCGCGGCGTCTCACCTATCCTCGCTGGTCTCCGCCAGCCGGTTGTTCATGATGGCCAGCGCCCCGACGCCCGCGGCGAATCCGTTCTCCCGCCCGAGCGAGTGCGAGTGCACGGGCGAGCAGCGGTGCGCTACGCGGTGGTGGTGCCCGTTCGCCGCCTCGGACAGCTGCTTCTGCATGAGCGCCAGCGACACTTTGTTGGACGCCAGGAAGTCCTTCATGGATATGAGCTCGCCCGAGAGACGCCGCCCGTCCGTGTCGCTGTCGTTGCCCGCGCCGCCGTCGTAGCGACGGGGGCCCGGCGCGGCCACGGTCTCAACGCCGCCGCCACCGCCGCCTCCGCCGGCAGCGTCGTTGTTGTTGTTGTTGCGGCGTCCCCGCGGCACGCCGGGCATGACCGCGTTGCGCCGCTGGTTGCGCGCCCGTAGCCTCGGCCGGCGTCGGCACAGGCTCCTGCAGTCGGCCTTGTGCAGCATCCACGTGAGCGTCTGCTTGATGACGATGGAGAGGACGTTGAAGAGCGAGTATATGCAGCAGACGCCGGCGAGGATGAACACGATGTTGCCCACGCGGTACCACGTCTGGTGGTCGTAGAGGTCGCGCTGGCCGGTCACGAGGTCGCCGAAGCCGATGGTGCTGAACGCCACGAAGCAGAAGTATAACGAGTCGACGTAGCTCCAGCCCTCGACGGCGGAGAACATCGCCGAAGCGGAGCACGCGATGGCCACGGCGGCGATGCCCAGGATCATCATGACGTGGTAGACGGACGGCTTCCAGCCGGCGAGGCACTCGATGGCGTCCGACTGATCGGACGCCTTGCGCCCCGGCTGGATGACGAGCCGATTGATTTGCCGCCGGTGGCAGGAGCGCATGACGCACGCCAGCAGCGTGATGAGCCGCTCCAGGAAGAGGTTGAAGAAGAGGATGCCCGCGGCGCAGCCGAAGAGTCCGTAGAAAATGAGGAAGATCTTGCCGCTCACCGTCGTGGGCGTCGTCATGCCGAAGCCTGTGCCGGGTGGTGGTGGTGGTGGTGGCGGGCGGGCGGGCGGGAGGGGGGTTACAGAACGCGATGTCCGTGGGTTAACGAGGATGGTGGTGATGGTGACGGTGGTGGTGCACCGCACCAATGCTTTGTCAATCGTAACAACAACAACAACCGACATTCACCACTAAGTGGCGGTGACGTCGCCAAGGCGCTTGTGCCAGGCTACGTGCACTTTAAGGTCAACGCCACAGTCGTTGCCACCCCCCCAATCTGCCACAAGCCGAGCAATTAATACTTTGATACTTGCGTAAAAGCAAGGTTGGCCACATATCGTGCGAAAGAAGTTTAACATACATACGATACTCTTTGGTTCTATTCGGTAAAGTCACGTAGGTAAAAAATAAAACAACAAAAATCACGACGTTTCGGCCACAACACAAGCGGCCTTCATCAGGTGAAGGGACCAGGCTGTCTCGAGGATAGAGCTGGAGTGAAACACAGCCACGCTCAGACCGCGACCTTTAAGTTGTGTGCGAGGAAACAAGGTGCCTTGATCTTATCTACAAACACAGACACAATTTCAACCGAGAAGATGGTTTCAAATTAGGCAACCATTGGAAAGATGTTCTAAATCGAACCAAACATTAAACTAATTTTCAATGGTACAGTATATTTTTCAAGTAGTGGTACCCCAAACTTTCGCAGCTCTTAAAAATTCCCTTTTCACACCATCAATAGGTAAACTCCCCCCCCCCTCCCCCGCGCCAACCGGCATGTGCACCCGCATGTACACCACCTCTACACCGTTCATCATGCTAAGTCGGCCAATCAAATGCTAATTTTTATGCTAATTCCTTTGTCAAGGCACCTTGTTTCCTCGCACACAGCTTAAAGGTCGCGGTCTGAGCGTGGCTGTGTTTCACTCCAGCTCTGTCCTCGAGACAGCCTGGTCCCTTCACCTGATGAAGGCCGCTTGTGTTGTGGCCGAAACGTCGTGATTTTTGTTGTTTTATTTTTTACCTACGTGACTTTACCGAATAGAACCAAAGAGTATGGATCCTTGCAGTCACGAAAGCTTTAAATCTAGAAGTGCATACGATACCTGCGTCGTCTTTTTTCCTGTTCGCTTTTTGGCGTCGTTCTCTGATCTGACACTGGTGGTGAGTCTAGGCCATAAAGCAAGCTGCTGCTGTCTCTCGTGTCGGCCAATCAGCTTCAACGACAATGCCGTACATTTTCAGAGCATTTTTTTGTTTGCACGTGTTGCCACAAGTGCGCGTGGTGACTGTAGACTTGATGCCTTTCAAAAGGTAACCATTTGGTGTTTGAACATTTTCACACCTGTATTATTGCCATCATTTTGATACTGGCAAAAAGGTCCCATAGATGCAACAATCCAGATCGTAACTCCTGCACACGATTTGAATAGTCCTAGTTACATGCTCATGGTGAGTTCTCCTTTTGGCAAAGCAATAATCATAATGGGCAATCGTCGCAAATAATTCCGTGCAGAACTCACACGGCGTATATTTGAGATATCTGAAATGGTCATGGGGGACGGGGGGGGGCTCTTGACCAGCGTGGTGCAGTTTAGTGAAACAATTCCCGTGACTGACGCGGCATTTGGCGACGTCCATTTAGCATTGGCTTGACAAAGGACTGTATATTATTTATTTATCAGTAACTGGCCAGATGGCACAGCCATAGATTAGATGCCTTGGAAATGGAATAGTGTGAGTCCATAAACAACTCTGTGCCTCAATCTTCTGGGGTGTGGGCAATTCAGCAGTGATTTTTTTCTTTGAATAAAGTCGACCCTGCCATAGGAATGTGGAAAAAAAACCATACTCATTTAAGTGAGAATAAAAAACAATTTTACTTTCTCACCTTTTGATCATGTAGTCTCTGAATTACACGGAACAAAATTATACTTTGGTCTCATGCCACCACTGGCAACATCATGACTACATGCCCTCTCCATCGTCATCAGTATTTGTTCTTCAGCTGCCACCAGCTGAGTATTTTAAATATAAAAAAAAATTGATTTGACTGAGTTAACAGTGACAGGCTGAGCTGAAAGCTTATGGTACTGATTGAATTTTCCTGGTTATATTTATGAATAAAATATGCTATAGAGATTCATAATGGACATGTCCCGTTCACAAAGGCACCGTAATGAAAAATTTAATGTTGGGTTCATAATGGCAGCGTCACAGACACCGAGTTAACACATTGGAGGCCCTGGGTTTGAGCCCTGGGTGTCCGACCTCAGTGGGTTTCAAAATTGTCACATTGAGTTCATAATAGCGATATCAGAAATGCCCTGCCCACGGTACTACTGGAGGGTACTCTATTACAGATCCCTTATAATTGTTTTTTTCAAATTTTCCACAATCTTATCCTGATGTGCTTTCGGCGTTCTGTCATCAGATGAAGCATCCGTTTGGATCTGTCGTGGTGCAGTTGCACCGCTCCATGGTTAGAGAGCGGCCTACAGAAGCATACGCTACCGAGCTACATCTGAGATCCTTCAAAGTGACCTCTGGCCCACCGTGCCGCTGAGAGTGATGTTCATCACACAACAGTAAAACTCATATTTTCAATTCTAGGAGTTGGAATTTTTGCCTCTTTTTTACCGCCAATGCTGAACCAAAATATAATGCGATGGGTTTTTTTTTGTGTGTGAAATCATTTGTGACCTTGTTTAGGTCATCACTCACACTTGTGAACCCGATTCTCTGAGCCACTCGGCTCACCTCTCTTTGGGTGTTTTTATTATTATTACTAAGAAAACCATGACCAACAGTTATAACAATAACTCATGGGACCGCCTTTTTAAAATGTGAAACTTCACGTGAATAAACTGGTATTTTGCTGAAGGTTGGCCCTGGGGTGAATCTCCAGGTGAACTGAGTGACGCTGTTTAGTATGCACAGCAGTCAAGAAATGTAAAGTTCCCAGCCTGCATGGAGCCGAGCCATATCATTACTTATTAAGAGGTATCTGCACTAATTAAGGTAAACATTTTTAAACAGCCCCCAATTGACTTCCACATTTGTTTTGACATTGTATGTCTTGGTCTCTGCTACCCGATTAGCACCTCCGATCAGCACGGTTGGCTACGAACGACGCGAAAGAAGTTCCACGTAGTGCATTGCATACCCTGACAATCATAATCTCTTTTTCTGCACTTGCCTTCCTGAGGCATCATCCCAAGTCCTAACATTTTATATCGAGATCCAGTCGTATTTCGCCACCGCTTGAACACAACTGTATAATTGTCGCCAATGTTGACTATGATCAAACCACTCCTGGATGAAGGACCCCCCCCCCCCACCAACTCAACCCAACCCCCCCCCCCCCCGTCATGCCGTGATCATGTGTGGTTTCAATCGGTTGGAATTGAATTGGCATGGTGGCCAAGGGCTGCTGATGAAATAGCAGCCAGAGGATACGGCGTGCTCGAGAAAGTGTGACGGACACGTGGAGGTTGGAGCAACGAGATCAGGCCATGCGCAGGATGTGAATTTTGGCATCACCGGCCCAATGGCGGATGGAGACGGTACATGAGGAGGCCTTCATCTAGCAGTGGATAGACCGTGGATGAAGACGACGGTTGGTGGCGTCGAATTGCGCACTATCTTCACGGTTACAATAATATGCCCATTTGTCTGGTGTAAAGCCATCGAGCATTACAGCAGTTGTACTTTACAAAGAGTTTATTTAATTCTGAAAGGCACTGGATAACACATTATAGGTACCATATTCAAGATGCGTCAGTGTTGATAACTCATGAGTAATTGAATTGTGCGTTTAATGTGTCTCTTAGGAAAGCTTGTTTAGACTATAAGAAACTAAGATAATAAAATACAATGTTCTACCATCTGATAGGGCATAAAGAAACTTACAGTAATTAATCTTAGAAAACACAACGCCATCAAACGATGTCCGTTCGACCACAAAGTCTGGCAATATTTTTTCGTCATGGTGATTTTTCTTTATTTGTGGGGCGCCGCTGTGGCGAGATGTTGACTCCCTCGCATGTTATGCAGGAGGTCGTGGGTTTAATCCCAACCCTGACGCCCGTATATTAGGAGTTTGCATGTTCTCCCTGTGGTCGCGTGGATTTTTCTATGGGTCCTCCGGATTTTCCCTCCACATGTATAAACATGCGTTTAGAATATTTGTGCTGCTATACATTTCCACTCGATAAGCCGCTTTGTTGAGCGATCATTTGGTGGCCAAATCCAATGGCGGAGCCAGGATTTTCAGGTAGTGGGGGGGCAACCCCTCCAGCAATGAAAAATGATAGAGGAGTTGTTTTAATTTAAAGCTTTCGTGACTGCAGTAATTCATATTCTTAGCTCTTTCGGTAATGTCACGTTGAAGGGAAACAATAAAATAATAAAATATATAAAACAATACAAATTCTCACGACGTTTCGACCATAACACAAACGGTCGTCATCAGGTGTGAAAAACCAACGGCAAGAAACATTTGAAAGAAGTGTCGGTTTGCATTAATTAATTGATTTCTAAACGGTGTATTTATTTATTTATAAAAAAAACGTCAGCGCCATGCGCAGCGATTTGGCAGTTTATTTAGAAGGACGAGTCCATCTATGTTCTGAAAAGAGGGGGGAGACGAAAAATTATTGTATGCTGTCTGACAGCCACCGTAAGTGTGAACAATCAATTAATACCTGAAATGGTTTATCAAATCCTTCCAATGATTGCTAAGCCAGAATCCATCTTCTCGGTAGAAATTGTCTCTGTGCTTGTATATGTGGATAGCCTCATGAACGAATCTCTCATGGTAGCCAGATGGCTTAGAGGAGTTGTTAGTAAGTAAGGACTTGTCCCTTGCTTTTTATTCGACGCGTGTGCGGCGATGGCGCAGCCATCGATAGAGGGTCGAATTCGAACCGTGTTGTGTGATCGCCATCGCGCTCGCTGAAGGTGAATGCCTTCAGGGAAGTCGTGTACTGTACACGCAACTGCGCACAATTCTGTGCGTCGCTT